TTATTGGGTCATGGTTCTGGGCTGGAGTAGAAGCTTGTGTGGGGGCTGAAGTCAGCAACAAGTCTAGCCTGGAGGACAAGGAAAAGGGTATTATATCATCTTGGTTTGGGACCACAGAAGAGGCCAGTATGAAGTATACCCAATGCAAATTTATGACACCTGCTGAGGAGATCAATAATGACTCTAGCTTCTGGTCAGAAGATCCCTGTGTGTTTTCTGCCAATGGATGCAGATGGAAGTCTAGGCCAGAGGAGGAACAGGACACTGTTGATTCATGGTTCTGGTCCAGAAAATACACAAGGCCAGAGACCATTGTAGGGCCCTGGTTCTGGGCTGTGGAAGAGGGCAGTATAGATGATAGGACTGAAGGAGCCAAGCCACCTAGCAAGGAGGAGATCATGATCACATCCTGGTCCTGGAAAGGGGATAAAGCCATTATAGGGGCTCCAAACAGAGAAGAATCCAGGCTAGATGCTGAAGAAGAAGACATTGGTTCTTGGTTCTGGGCCAGGGAGGAGGACAGGCTTGAAACAGAAGCTAAAGCTAGAGAAGAAGACAGGCTGGCAGCTGAAGAGGAAGTTATTGTTGGGTCTTGGTTCTGGACCAGGGAAGAGGCCATTAGGAAGGAGACTGGCATTTGCAGCAAATACAGCCCAGAAGCTGAAGAGGAAGAAGTCACTATTGAGTCCTGGTTCTGGGCTGAAGAAGAGGCCAGACTGGAGGCAGGGGCTAGTTTTGAGTCCAAGCATGGGCCTGGAGAGGAAGAAATCATTGTTGGGTCCTGGTTTTGGGCTGAAGAAGATGTTATAGAGGTTGGACCTCAGGCAATAGAAGAGACCATATCGAAGTCCGAAGAGGAAACCATTTTTGGATCCTGGTTCTGGGCTGCAAAAGAAGTCAGTGTAGAAGCTGAGACATGTGCGTCTAAGCCAAGAGAAGATGAAGAGATGATTGTTGAGTCCTGGTTCTGGTCTGGAGACAAGGCCATCGATGACACTGAAACTGTGGCTACTTCTGAGTCCAGGCCTAAAAATGAGGAAGGGGCAGTTGTTGGGTCCCAGTTTGGAGCTAAAAATGAGGCTAATAACAAGACTGGTAATGGGACCAACTGTGAGTTCAGGACAGCAGCTGAGGAGGACGAGGCCATAGTGGGGTCCTGGTTCTGGGCAGGAGATGAGGCCCATTTTGAATCAAATCCTAGCCCTGTGTACAGGGCCATTTGCAGGTCCAGGTGTTCGGTTGAGCAGGAGCCTGATGCTTCACGCAGGCCCCAGAGCTGGGAGGAGGTTACTGTTCAGTTCAAGCCTGGCCCATGGGGTAGGGTTGGCTTCCCATGCCCAAGCCCCTTTAGATTTCCAAAAGAAGCAGCATTTCTGTTCTCTGAAATGTTTGGAGGAAAGCCCAAGCACATGGCACCGAGCCCAGAAGGGGAAGAGCAGGAGTCTTTGCTGCAGCCTGATCAGCCTGACCCTGAGTTCCCATTTCAGTATGATCCATCCTACCGGTCAGTCACAGAAATTCGAGAGCATCTTAGGGCCAAAGAAAGTGCAGAGCCTGAGAGTTGGTCCTGCAGCTGCATACAATGTGAGCTTAAAATTGGTTCTGAAGAGTTTGAAGAACTCCTTCTGTTAATGGACAAAATTCGAGATCCTTTTATTCATGAAATATCTAAAATTGCAATGGGTATGAGGAGTGCTTCTCAATTTACCCGCGATTTCATTCGTGATTCAGGTGTTGTCTCACTTATTGAAACCTTGCTCAATTATCCCTCCTCCCGTGTTAGGACAAGTTTTTTGGAAAATATGATTCACATGGCTCCACCTTATCCAAATCTGAACATGATTCAGACATATGTGTGTCAAGTATGTGAAGAAACCCTTGCGTATAGTTTGGATTCCCCTGAGCAGTTATCTGGAATAAAGATGGTTAGACACCTCACTACAACTATTGACTATCACACACTGGTTGCTAAGTATATGTCTGGGTTTCTATTCTTATTAGCCATGGGCAATACCAAAACAAGGTTTCATGTTCTGAAAATACTACTGAATTTGTCTGAAAATCCTGTCATGACAAAAGAACTGCTCAGTGCTGAAGCAGTGTCAGAATTTATGGGCCTTTTTAACAGGAAAGAGACAAATGACAATATTCAGGTTGTTCTAGCAATGTTTGAGAATATTGGTAACAACATTGAAAAAGAGGCATTGCTGTTTACTGATGACGATTTCAGTCTTGAGCCACTTATTTCTGCATTCCATGAAGTTGAGGAACTTGCTAAGAAACTGCAAGGCAAAACAGATGATAAAAATGACCCCAGGGTAGACCCAAAAAATGATTATGATTAATCACTTGCCTGTGACTGTCCTTACGTTCCTGAGTTATAATCCTTGAATAATGCTTTGGCTTCATTTGATTCTATGTTATAATGTACATCTTTAATGCTGTTACTGACTTTGCCCAACTGTGTGTGTGAGCTGGATCAATCTTCTCATGCCAAATGAATATTAGAACTAAAAGCACATTTGTTGATACTTGTTTTTGTCCAGATTGTAAATTTAGTATTTAAGCTTATAGTGAACTGAGTCATCATAAGTAAGCTACCCTTCTGATTGTTGTTCCAGTGTATTGATGTCTATTTGAGTCGTGTTGTGTTTTCAATAAAATTCTATGTTAAAGTTGGCAGAAATCACTGTTCTCCTTGAACTTAGAGTATACATGCAAAGATAGCATATGAGCACATAGAGATAATGTATGAATAATAATGCTCCTTGAGAAAGTTTATTTTCATAGCTTTAACTGCAAAGGTTACTATGGGCTGCTACTCAGTGTGTGCTTCAGAGAAAAAGGACCCAATTAATTTGGGCTCTGAAATGTAGGAAAAAGGTTGAATGTTGTGAAGAAAAGCTTGGAGTTGTAAAAAGTGTTCCTATACAAGTGAGGTATCCAGTAGGCTTGGAGTGGCTGGGAGGTGTGTATTAAGTGATAGAGAGGATGAGGTAAATTTTGAAGAGCTGAGAAGTCACACTTTGCAGTTCAGCATATGGCTGTTTCTTTGATGTTACCTAAAGGTTAAATAAGACCAGAAAGCACACAGATTTCAATGTCAGGGAGGCCATTTCTTCATGGTAGTGCCATGGAAATTGTTAAAGTAATACCATATAGCCACAAAAAGTGATGAAGTACAGATTTTTTTAATTGACTAAGAAAAGCTCTGATGTCTTATATATTTGTAGAAATATTTTCTATATTTCTATAAATAAAAAAGACTGGTATACATGGAAAGATGATCCCATTGTAAAAATGAATGTAAGTGGGCCAAATTTACACAAATTTATATTGGATTATGGAAAATTCTGTAACAATATAAAACATGTCAAAGGGATACAGAAGTATGAGATACTACAGAAGGACTGGCTTGCCAAGTAAAAATCCATAATTATTTAAAGGGAATAAACTAAACTTTCCGAAGTTCCAGAGTTTATGCTACACATTTTTAAGAAAATTCACAATGGTTCATAGCATATCTTCAGGTAGGCGCAAATGTCAGGGATAAAGTTGAGTTGGCATGGGGGTGGTCCAGGCTAAGGGGAAATACACAAAAGTTTTATTTTCAGGAAAGGAACAAGCCATGGTGACCCTGTTACTTTTTATTTGTCTCAGGGTGAAAAGTGCTTTTTCCCTACTT